CGAGGAGCAGCCCGGCCGCCGTGCAGGCCACCAACGACGACGCCGCGGCGAGCAAGCTGTAACGCCCCCCACCTCTCCTCCCTCCCCCGCTTTCCTTTTCTTCCTTCCCAGCCATTGTGGCCACCACTGACATTAGTCTTAGGATTTTCCTATTAAACTAATAATTTGTCGAGCAACATGGTACTGAGCTTGCCACCGATTCGGTGGAATAATGTGTTCGGAGAGCACTGAACTTGTCGCCGATTTGGTGGAATATTGTGTTTGGAGAGCACTGAGCAGTAGTTCTAAAGATAAAATATCTTATCTTACTCACCGAGCTTGTTCCCTTTCACTCAGGACCAATGAACATGTCGGAGGAGGTACTGCCCAGCCACCATCAGCACAAACAGTACAAGAACTAGTTGATTCATTCTCAGGCCAATTACCAGGGAGGATTCATGACAAAGAAAAATCACCGGCAGGTGTTCTGGTGGAGGAGACGGACCTTGCTTCATACCGTCGCGACTGGGAAAAATCTTGGGGTGACAAGTGTGGCTCCTTCGAATTCTACTGTAATAATCTACTTACTACCCATCTGGTTCTTGCTCTGCTTTTCTTCTTCCTACTGCTGTATACCTCGACTTGATTAGTTCCCTTACCGATCGAAAAAAAAAAGGAGATTAGTAGATTAGTTTCAATGTAGCTAGACTGTCCCTTGTAGTATGTCTGAACCTGAATTCTTTGGTTAATGTTTGATTTCTGGGCTGATTTTTGTGACTTTCGCTGCAGCGTGCGTGAGAGCCATGCTCTTCACATGCAAACGCACCCCGCCACAAGCAGGCGTCAAGACCTGCCTGCAGATCTTCTCTATCAGAGTCGTGGAAATCAACGGTGCTTATCTTGAGTGGCCACTGGAGGTCTACGGCCTGGTCGCCACCCGTGACTCGATGGATCATAATCGTAACATTATCTTCAGACTCAGGAGGGACGCCTGCCAACTCCTCACTCAACAGGTATGGTGTCGTGTGGTCAAGTATTATTTTCATTTATGTGGGGTTGGCTACATTATGATGTGTCCTTATTTCTTTATTGCAGTTGATTGATTTGTTAATGATTAGTGCAATTGATGCTTGCAGGATCCATTTTTGGCGCTGACCGGCCCGGCTCATGCGATTATCTTCACCGGGCCAGTCGACATTGAGATCCAACTCAAAGTCAAGGGCAGAACCACAGAGCATGAAGACAAAGATTTCATCTCCAAAGTGCTGGTATACGAACGTGATCCCAGTGACAAACTTGCCGACGCAGGCATAGGCAACCAAGACATCATGCGTACCAGCTGTTTCGGCGAGTTGTGCTCCCTACAGATCACCTCCGCCCTGATCGCCGAAGCGGTTGAGGCCACAGTCATCTCTGCTGAAGTTATCGAGGGACTATGGCCCCCAAAGTCAGGAATCCGTGTCGTTTCCGGTACCGCCAGCATAGACGAGGACTTTGTACTGCTCGATGCTCGGGATGGGACGCTTCGTGTGGATCCGGCTGACGGTGTCATCCCCATTACCAGAAATGTTGTCTGTGTGGAGAAAGATGGGAGGCTGAAGCTTTCTATAGAGGCCTACAGAAAGAGTGGGCGTATGTATGCAATATCTGTTACGGAGTTGATACCCAAGAGATCCTCCGCCAGTATTGCCATATGCAAGCTTCCCTTCTGCATGGTCGAGTTCACCGTAGCTTGGTCCTGCCTCGTGGCCAAAGTGGATGACCTGAGGAAGTACGGTATCTGATTCTGATCTGATGCAACCAACCCAACCATTTACCTAGTTGTGGAGCGACTGTTTAGCGTTTTATTTTGTCCAGTGGTATGTTAAAGATGCTGAACTTCTGTTTATGTAGTGTAGTATGGCTAACAACAAGTCGTCATGTTAGTCTGATCAAGTGTCCAGACCGGTAAGTCATGTTTGTAATGGGGTAAAGTGTCCAGGCCAGTATGTCATGTTAATTCGGTCGCTATTTATATCTGGTTGATGAGCTGTGTGCTGCTGCTCTATGGTCTGCATCCACAAGTGAATTTCTCGTGTCTCCGCATACATCGCTGAACCTGTATCTTGGGTCATGTATCTCTGTGTCCACAAGTGAATTTCTTGTGAATTTCCCTGGTCTACTATATAGCATTATTTTTCTATATCGTGGACCAGGGAAAGAACACATGCCTTGTAGACGCAGCCGCAGGAACAAGAAGCAAGAGAACCTGGGGCTGCGTCATGTGTTGTTTCAGGTTGAATTTTTTGCAGTATGAAACTGGCCGGCCCTTTCCTCAGCCGCTTGGGTTACATAAATAGCACCCATGTGCTCAAACCATTTGAGCTAAAATCACATGTATAGATCATCTGGCCCCTTCCTCCACTAGACTCTGTTTGTGTTCCTGAACTGTTCGTAGTCTCGCAGTTGGTCCGGGAAAGGGAAGTGACCTTTGCCGCTGCTTCCTGCGGATTTACTGCCCCCTCCATCCAGTGACATCATCCGATCTCGCGCCATTGCTTCACGGAAGTTCACGAAGCGCAAATTCACTGGACCATCGGATCAGGGTTCTTGGCGAGTTCTAGGGTTCTATCTCTTCATGCCACGGTGGTACGAGGGCCGTGGCATTTATCTGCCGCAATCGTCTCAAATTAGTACATCCAAATTAGTAGCCAAGAGCCTTTCACAAACATATATCACTCGTTTAACCAGCTAGCATATTGATGTTTATAGAAGGAGACACACTTTGACATGATGGTTTAACCAGCTAATGGATTGTCAGCACTGCAGTGCTGCCTGACACACAAGGCATGACACGGACCTGGAGTGGTACAGGAGTTGGCGACAATAGATGGATTTGGAGCAGTGACATGTGGGCCGAAAGTGTGTGTCGACCGTTATGGCCCATGACCCATCTGAGCAAGTATATAAGCTCAAATAGTTGTCTTAATCAGGATCAAATGTGAATTTAATACTTTTTGTTCTTCGTCTCTCTCTTCTTCTTCCCCAAAGCCTATCTCAGTCTCCTCCCAAGTCCCAACCCCCATTCCTGAGATGCTACCCTAGGCTCAGGGTATTACAGGTGGTATTCAGAGCTTTGTCGGTCTATGTTGCGCTTCGAATATCGAGATCCACTGGTAAAGTCGACTGGTCGGTTGTTGGTTGCTTCGTGCAATCGGCTATAAATCTAAAACCAGTGTTCGGCTGGACTCAGAGGAAGTGGCGACGACACCGTTCAAGCCAAGTGCTCAAACAAGGTACCAGGTGGAGTCCATGGGGGCGTTTGAGGAGTGGGTCATGAAGGAGTTTGAGGCATTGCGGCTGCTTCAAGCAGGATGGATTGGATGCCAAGTTTGAGAGTGCGTCTCGTGAATGGATCCGGTACTATCCAAAGCGAATCTGTCGGTGAGCTCGATTGGGAGATACACCATGAACAGGTGCATGTGGCTCGGGTTCTGAAGCAATTCACAGTGTCAGTGACGCATATCTGGACAGGCTAGCGGGGAAAGGGTGTATGGGGGCTTCGCCAACTACAGGTGCACCGTCAACCTGTAATGAGCCACCATCGGTGCCGCCACACCACCTCCTCCACTGCGAAATCGGATACCGCTACAACATAAGGTTCAGGTATCTCAGTCCTGTCACCCGTCAGATGAACATAGCAGTAAGCAACCCAAGATGCCTAAAATGGCATTCCCAAGGAGTATGAAAGACAAAGTGTCTAGATTGGGGAGAGACTGTTAGGTAATCTTGGATATGTTTTTAGTCTAAACTATTGATTAAACAGTAACGTTCATGGGAATACGAGATAAGTCTGAAAGATTTAGAAACCACAATGGCGACCTATCCCTAGGACAAAAGCATGTCTAACAAGGCTATGAGCCTCGAAATTGGTGTCTCGCCCTTCGAAGATGAAAGGGCAACTCTGGAACTGTGATGTAGTGTCTATAATTTCCTTGATAATTGCTGCATACACCCACCTGTATCTTGCTGGTATCTTTGACCACGCCCTGACAATCTGATGCATTTTTACACATGCGATAATGAGAGGTCGAGGGAAAGGGCCAAAGCTTCCCTTTCCCAGCACGCTAACGCCTCCAAGGTCGTCGGGTCTGCAATACCCGAGCATTGTACCACTAAAGCACCCAAGTAGGTACCGGTAGAATCACGACACACAACGTTGTTGGCTCCATCATTGGACGCACGCGAGACCGCGCCGTCCACTTTAATCTTGGTTGTACCTTGCTCCGGTGGGATCCACCTCGGACGAGGTTGTCTTGCTACAGTTGGCCTTGTCGCAGTAGCCTTCTTTGGTTTGCAATCATTCAACTCTTTGATGTATATGAATATGAAGCTATGAGTGGCATGTGGGCTTTGGAATATGCGCTCATGGAGCGCTTGGCAGCGAACGTACGAGATCGCCTAAAGGGTGAAAAGTACCTAGACAATGTCATCATGTGATAGCGCATCCATCAGACCATCACCGAGAATATCCAACGTTTTGCATCCGGCTCTTTGACGTTATTAAGGACTTCCACCGGGTCAGGGTCCTGCAATGCCCACACACAACGTGTGACATTGTAGTGTAACAAAGAATGTTGCCAAGAGTGCTCTGTACCACAAAAACTGCAACTAGTGATTGTGGACATATTTCTGTGATGCAGAAGATCAGCAGTCGGAAGTGATTGCTGCGCTAGCCTCCATAGGAAAATTTTGATCTTTGATGGAACATCCACTTTCCACATCTTACACCACACTTTTTGTTCGCCAGATGAGTCAGAAATGTCCAGGCGCCCCTCTAACCAGGCCTCCCGTCTTAGTTTTGTGGATACCAGCCTACGATACACAGAACGGACAGTGAATACGCCATTTTTTTATGTACCCAAGATCAGAAGTCCTCCATGCATCTGTCTCGTGCACAGCGGGATCGAAAGGATGGCGTTCGCGTCCCTGAGTAAAGAAACTTCAACTAGGACTGTGTTGTTCCACTCTCCATTGGCCATAATCAGATCATCCAACCACTACGGGGGGTTCATTAACTCGGCTGATGATTGACCGCACACTAGTAGAAAAACCTTCATTCGTTCCGTGAGGACTATTGGTCCCGGTTCCCGAACCGGGACTAAAGGGTCGTCACTAAAGCCTTCCCTTTAGTTCCGGTTCGCCCAGGAACCGGGACAGATGGGGACTACACGTGACCGCTGCCTGCTTGACCAGACAGGGGGCCTTTTGTCCCGGTTGGTGCCACCAACTGGGACCGAAAGGCTTCCACGCGTCAGCATTTCA